GATCCCCGCAAGGCTCTAATTGGAATTTCATTGATGAAACACGAAAATCCGATTGGCGACCTTTACCGACCAATTGCGTTAGAGTGTGACCTTTGCGTTACCAGCTTCGCAAGCCTTTTGGAAAAGTGCTGTTAGTTTAAGTCGTTTGCTAAATTACTTTGTCCTTCGTTTCAGTGCAAGAATCTTCGGCGGTTTCTTCGTCCAGAACAACAACAAATTGTTTGGCCCGTCGAATGTGAGACTTCTTGGTCTGTTTTTGCACAATAAAGTACTCGGATCAGTTCTAAAGGCCAAAATTTTGAGCAAATGCGACGTTGTCGCTCACTTCAAAAACTACCTACAACTTCGTTGTTTTAAATGGGACACCCGGTATATTATTGCACATTTGAGTTGGCTCGATTGATATGAGGAATTCTGCTTAACGCTTCCTGTTCTAAAGCGGGGATTCGGAGCGTTAAATGTTTTTTTTTTAATCAAAACGTGGGTCCAAAAAATCTTGAATTGAATTTGAATTGAAAAAATCTTGGATTTGAGCCCGATCCTGAAGATTCCCATGCAATAATTTGTTCTAAATTGTACAGGGTGTTTTGGACGGAAGCTGCACAGGAGCCAGACATTTTTTCCTGGTAAAAGTTGGATTTGAATGAGTTTCGCCTCACAGCAGCCACTCTGTTCCAAATGCGATCGAAAACAAAATTTGTCAAATACTTTGGACCCGCTTACTAAACTGATGCGATTAAATGGAAGAAAACATTGACCCCTGTCTGACAGCCATGTGTAAAGCCCGTATGCCCGTAGACCGCAGCGTATCGAAACTACCTTCCACTCAGCTTTACCGCCTGTAGTCCAAGCGCCAATTGTCTGAAATTGGAGAAGATTGCTCATTCGAAGTTGGGTCAGATCCTGTTCTTTTGATCCAAAGAATATCGCATTTTGCCCATGTGCTTGTGGGACACCGTGTAAATTGGGCGATTACACGAAAAACACCCAAAAACTGACAAAACAAACTGCAAAGAAATGCAGGAAAACGCCATTGGCCACAAATTGGCCTTTTTTCACCAAGCTGTTTTGGCTGGAARTCGATACTTGCGACTTTTCCAGCGTCGCCTTGAGGGCTTGAGGGGCATTTTAGCATCAACCCAGGCTAAAACGCACATAAACCCRTGGCTTTCACTTAGTGAGTTTAGCAAGTAAACATTTTTTTGGAAAAAAATGATTGTCTAACGCGCCAAAAAAATCGTCCCACTGCAACTGCCGAGCGCGAAAATCGTCCGGTAGCCGAGGAGATTCCGATCATCTGCTGGTAGGCCACCACCCATCATCTTCGCGGCTCAAGGAACGCATACCTTCAACATGGGCTGGAGGTGGGACCGTGCAGACAATGAGTCAAAGGCAAAAGATGATCAGCGTATAAAAACGAAGATCCCAATTTGGCGAGATCAGTACCCAAACTCAATCAAGTGAGAGTGTTCAAAACGAGAAAAAGTCGAGGTGTGCCACAAGACGATTGTTTTTCCTTTTAATTGTAAGTACGCGCTCTGGACTGTTTATCCGGGTGGTTGACGTCGGTGGTTTCGAGTGCTGGTGGCCCTTCAGTGATGCCCTCATGAGGATTTTCTTTCGGATGGACTGGTGCGCTTTAAAGCTGCTTTCAAAATGCTTCTTGTTTGGTAAACTTTTTCCGTCTGCTTTCAAAGCAGCTTTAAGGTGGCACTGGTGCGCTTGAACTTTTTTTCAGTTTTCAGTTCCATTCAGTCGATTTTTCATTTTTTCGAAAATTGCCCCCAAGTCATGTTTGCCTTAAGCGTTGTTTAAATCACCCATGCGAGATCAACTCAGTCATTTGCCTCCATTTCTGTACAAGCCATTAGACTTAAACCACTCCGTTTGATCAATCTGACCCCCTTTTCACCCAGTTGTCGTCTAAATCTCATATTTGCCGTAAAAAGCACTGCGAATTAAGGATGCACGTATTTCCATTTTTGGGAATGTTTATCCTGGTTCTGCAAAAGTGCTGAAACTGTTTAAAATAAAATTAAAGTGCTGAAACTGTTTAAAAATTATTTTGAATCTGAAGCTTC